CTCTCTCTCTCTCTCTCTCTCTCTCTCTTTCTCTCTCTCTCTCTCTGTTAGCTCCCTGCACATCTTCATCATTACCGGATCACCCCTCATCCTCCTCGTCGCTCACTACCATCTGCATCTCTGATTCAGATCAAGAAAACGAACCAGCCACCCCCAGCACCCCACAAACTCCACACACACGTCCAAACCTACAGGCCAGTCCGGTTGTGGCAGAAACACACGTGGATGAATCTCAGGAAATGCAACGAAAGAATGAGTTCAGCTCACAAACTCTCTCCAGCGGTGATCCAGGTCTGTTCCAAACACACTCCCGCCACGTTCAGGAATTTTCACTCAGATGTTAAAGGAATAATTCACCCTAAAATGTCAATTCTTATCATTTACTTTAGATCAACCGATATTGTTTGTGATACTGATTGTTTTTAAGTGTCAAATAACCAGTATGAAGAACCAACACTGAACTAAAGCACTCGTCACTAACTTCTGAAAGTGAACAGTCCGTTTATTATTATATAGAATATTGCGTTGAATAATAATTTAATAAAAAAAAATAAACTAAATAAATGCCTTTGAATACATTAAATATTAAAATACAAATAAACTCAAATAAGCAAGCAATATTGGATATCAGTCAAAAAAAAGTTATCAAGCAGTTATTGTTTTTTTATGTACTGTAAAAGCTGATAACTGCCTTTTTTTTTTTTTTTTTTTTTTTTACTGATATTTGATATTCCTGTAATTTTCACCTTAGAACTTGTATGACTTTTTTGTTTTGTCGAAGTTTTGCTGAATGTTCAAGCTAATTTTTTTTCCATACTACGAAAGCAATTATTTATGAGACATTTACTAGATATTTCAGCACCAATTATACAGAAACATATTTTTTTAAATAATAAAATTTATTTATTTATATGTTTAAAATATATTCATAATTTGTGTATATTTAATCTTTAATATTATTTTTTAAATGATAAATTTTTTAATCAAATAACTAAAATTTTATTTCATATATAATTTGTATAATTTAACAGTTATAATTTAATATTTTATAATATTTTTAAAAATATTTAAAATATATTCATAATTTTAATTGTATATTTATTCATCTTTGTATTTTTTATTTTAAAAAGTAATCATTTAAAAAAAATAATATAAATCTTATTTTATATATAATTCATGTGTAATTTAACAGTTATTATTTAATATTTTATATTAAAAATATTTTAAATATATTAATAATTTTATTTGTATATTTATCAATCTTTTATATTATTTTTAAAATGCTTGCTTTTTAAATAAATAATAAAATGTAATCATTGTAACAATAATTTAACAGTTATTATTTAATATTTTATATTTAAAAAATATTATTTAAAATAAATTAATACAAATTGCAATAAAAGCTGGAGATTATTCAAGTAATATAATTATACATAAACTTCAAGACAGACCTTCAAACATTAACGACTTTCTTTTTGTCAAAGTTTTCTTTTTTTATAAAGTTACAAGTTACAAGACGTGAAATTTCAGTGTCATTGAATCTGAAAAGCAGCAAAGAGCAGCTTGCCCCTTTTGCAAAATATCTCCCGCTGCGGTCTTTAAGAGAAAACATCAGCCCTCGATGATCAAAATTACCTTCTAAGAACAATTTCACAGTTGCGTCACCGCAGCTAAGAGCACGTCTGCGTGAAATATGCATAATAACAGGCCATTTCAAAGCCAGAGAATCGACGAGTGTTCACCTTTCTTATAAAGAGTGCAATTTTCAGACACTGCAGGGTTTGCCTTAACGCCCACCTTTACGACACACACGCACAGAATCCCAGCTTCCCAGCAGCATACAGTAAGCATAATGGCTCTTTAATAACACGTTGTGATTGGCCAGCCGGCGACGGCTCGGCTATTTTAGACCGCAGTAGGGTTCTGGTAACTAAGCCTCGTGGGGCGTCTTTGCAGCGAGCCTGACCCAAATGAATGTAGAACAGCTCTGTGGGACGAAATCCGGACAAATCCGATTTCTCCGAATGGCGGGATCATTTGAGGTCACGGCGTACCTGCTACATTCCAGAGTTCGTTAGCGCTTGCGCCACCTGACCTTTATCAGGAGCAAAATGATCATCCGCTCCTCTCATCCTCTCATTGCCCTGCTCTCTTTTTTTCTCCTCCTATTAGTCACTCCGACTTTCCCATCATGTCTCTCTTTCTCTCTCTCTCCGATAGCTAATGACATTCACATTCAAAAGGAGTCGGATGACTCCGTTCCCGTGTACGACTCTCTGAAGTTCTGTGCCAGCAAAAACACAGACAGGATCTACATCTACGACAAGGTATACAGTGTTAAGCCCTGTTCACACCAAGAACGATAACTATGAAGATAACTATAAAGATATTAGCGTCCACACCAGCAAACGATATCGTCTGTAAGCGCACGCTCGTCTGCTGCTTTAAATTCTCCAGCTCGTGACAGCAGGATGGATTCTGATTGGGTGTCAATGTTTTTATCAATCATCAGCTGGAAAAAATCGTTCTGAAAATGATTCCAACGATATAATTTCTCTGTGCCTTTATCGTTATAGCTGTGGTGTGGACTCTGGTGTGGTGTGAACCGGGCTTTAGAAACCCAAGCAGCTGCAGTATATTCAATATTCATGTTATATTTACGATGATTTTGCCACCCACAAACATCACAAATGTTGCGATAAAGCATTTTATTAGCATTTTATTTGACTCTTGACATTTCCTGAGCATTGTGAGTTTTAAAAGCGTATCTTGCCATCAAAATGGCACCTTATTTCTGTGAATCAGTTCTAATGAATCGTGTGTTTCAGTGAATCGAATCAAGTGTTTGATTCAGTTCTTTTACTGAAAAAAATGACTGTACTTGGGTTGAATTCAGAGTTTGAACTAACAGTTGATCTTAAATCATCCCCTTTAAAGCACTGCAGAAAAGAAATTAGATTAACTAGCTGGCTTTACTAGTAAGGATTGAGCCAAGAGATTTATACTTGGCGTGTATTCACTATATTGGTATATTTACTACTATATTGGTATATTCACAATATTGGTATATTATATTTATATACATTGTATTCATAGTTATGTTTAGTTTGTAGTTATGTATATTCATAGTTTGGTTCCAAAACGCGATAAATGCCATTTAAAAAAATAATAAATGAGTTCCCGCCAAAATCTGTATTTTATCTAGTCTGTATTGAAAAGTACATTTTTAATTTTACACAAATTGCGATATCCGCCGTGATATTCTGTCATGTTTTCTCCCTATCTTTCCAAACCACGACAAACGCTAGTCTCCCTTCTCTGCAGAATGCGATACATCCGCTCAACCAATCACAGCGCACCATTTCATGCATTGTAAACAGTAACTGACAAGCTACGCAATATCGCATTCATAATCGCAGATGAATCACCTTCGATTATGAACGCAATATTGCGTAGCTTGTCAGCGATCTACGGCTCTGTGTATTAAATGCCGCTCCATCTGAAAGCACGTGATGGAGATTTACTACTAATCACAGAACCGACTTTACTGATGAGATGCGCATGAAAATCGCATGCGATTTATTGTGCAGCCCTAAAAAAAAAGAATAATTTTGACGGCATTGATGAACCTGTTTGAACATTTGAACATTTTTACACAAATTAATCGAAATGGATTTATAGCGTTTTGGAACCAAACTCTTCATATATACAGTATATTCAAGATTATTTTATTGTCACTATACTAAAAGTACAGCAAAATTAGAGCAATCCGTACAGTGCAATCACCCATAAATTAGTGCAAGCTAAACATCTAATTTAAATAATAAACAGTAACAGCAAAACGAACAGTCAGATATTGCACAGAAATATTGCAGTGGGCAGAAAACTGCTGCATGATGTTGCACACAATAAAAGAGAGGTAAGTGCAACAGAATATACACACAAACACAAACTGAATAATATAAGATGTAAACTTGTACTAAATAGACACACACAGAGGTATACAGAGGGTGTTGTTAACCTGTGTCGGTTGAGATATAAGATGCCCCATCAGATTGATGCATTTCTCATTTTTCATGTTTGTGTTGTGTGTGTGTGTGTGTGTGTGTGTGTGTGTGTGTGTGTGTGTGTGTCTACTGACAGCGTTCAGCTCCCGTATAGCGCTGGGGTAAAACCTGTTTTTAAGTCTGTTGGTCTGTGATTTGATGGACCTAAAACGTTTACCAGAGGGCAGCAATTCAAACAAATGATGTCCTGGATGGAAGGGATCCTTTAAAATGTTTGCTGCCCTTCCAAGGCAGTGTACAGTGTAAAGTTCTTTTAAGGAAGGCAGAGGACAGCCAATGATTTTTTGTGCCGAATTGATCACCCACTGGAGAGTAGGGCTGAACGATTTTGGAAAATAATCTAATTGCGATTTTTTTTACCAATATTGCGATTGCGATTGCGATTTTAATATGCAAATTTTTTTTTTTAAAGCTCTTTATGTTCTGTATTATTCAACAAAGACAAGCTATAAATCATTGTATAGTATGACCAACACACTATTAGATAGATTAAACATAAATGTTCTTTTCTGTAGGCCAGGCCTATATGTTACGATGAAATTAGCTAATGCATGAATTGATATGAATGACATTTTTATTTAACAACTACAATCACAGTATACGATATAAATCGCATTGCTGTATAATCACGTTTTATTATTACATTCAGAAATAATGTAAAATACCAACAAATAAAATGAAACCTTTACAAGCATTAAAAAAGTGACTTATTCTGGAAAATACAGTACAGTACATTTTGTCATTTTTTTTCTACCCATTCTTTCTGATTCTATTACTATTAAATCTCATCTATATTAGCCAAATCATTTTACCTGACGTCTTTGACAAGCTGAACTAACAAGCAATATCATAGAAAACCAAGTGTTTAAGTACGTAAGACACAAAATGTATTTCTTACATAACGTATCGTCAGAAGCACTTCTGTTCTTCAAATTCATCAGGATTTCTTTTATAGCAAAGCAACCCGGGTCTGCATCATTAGCTCTAATATGAAAATGGCCCTAAATATTCTCTGGATCGATCTTGAACTCACATTTTGACGGCCAGAGCTTCCGGTGTTAATCTGAGGGCAGATAAAGTGTTGAAATCTCTCGTCCTTGTTTGTACAGCGGAACGCCAGGGTTTCTTACAGTTCTCTGCAACTGTATTAAATGGAAGCAGATATAAGCAGAGAGCCTCTAATTGACTTTGATTGAGAAATATTATCCGGGTTGGTTTTTAATAAGAGCTTTTCCTGAGGCCATCTCAGCCGAGCAGTGATGAATGGTGGAGTTCAGCAGGAAGACAGAGGAAGAGCTGGAAAAGATGCCTGCCGTGGGCTGGAAGTGTAATCTTTTGTCTCCCTGTGGACAGACGGTCCAGCTAGTGGAGGAGAACTGTTTTGTAAGGGCCGCTCTCGTGATTGGCAGCTCTGGACGAGCTTTGGATCTCTCTTCATATTCATATTTCTCACTTAAAGTAACCGCAGTGTTGTTACTTTTTTAGATTTTCTGACTGCACTGATTTATACATTTTTATTATTACTAATAATTTTTATGTAAATATTTTGTTTGGCATAGGCATTAGAGTTATTATTGTGTATTATTGTGGTTATTGTGTTCTAATATTTTTCTGGCAGTATTCACTCTCTCATATATATATATATATGTATATGTATATATATATATGTATATGTGTACATATATATATATATATGTATATGTACACACACTGTACACATACACACACACAATATAATATAATTTTAATGTTTATAATTGTATATATTTTGTTTATTTTACATTAATTTGTTTTAATTTAATTTTATATTTTAATGTTTTATTTTTAAATAATTAAAAATGTTTATATTTAATATAATTAAATATAGTTGATATTTAATAAATATAGTTTATGGATGTTCATTAACTATGAATGTGAATCATGACTATTGGTTAGGTGATTATTTTATTTTATTGTACATACAATATTACAATTTAAAATACAATTAAAACAAATTAATGTAAAATAAGCACAATATATATATATATATATATATATATATGCATGTACACAATTAAATGCTTATACCATCCGCTCCTCTCGTCCTCTGTTTATAATAAATGTATATCGTTTGTTTATTTCACATTATTTGTTTTAATTGTATTTTATATTTTAATTATTTAAAAATATAAGAAAGTTTATATTTGATAAATATATATTTTATGGATTTTCAATAGCTGTGAACGGGAATCATAGCATTACTGTTTAGGTGGCTTCAATAATTAATTTCTATATTTTATAATTATATATTTTTTGTCAAATTAATTGCTAAGTATATAAAATAAAACTATTTAAATATATATATTTTTTCTTTTCTGCCCTTTTCATCAGTTTTATCTATGGTTAATAAGCACTATATATATATATATATATATATATATGCATGTACACAATTAAAAATGCTTATACCATCCGCTCCTCTCGTCCTCTGTTTATAATAAATGTATATCGTTTGTTTATTTCACATTATTTGTTTTAATTGTATTTTATATTTTAATTATTTAAAAATATAAGAAAGTTTATATTTGATAAATATATATTTTATGGATTTTCAATAGCTGTGAACGGGAATCATAGCATTACTGTTTAGGTGGCTTCAATAATTAATTTCTATATTTTATAATTATATATTTTTTGTAAAATTAATTGCTAAGTATATAAAATAAAACTATTTAAATATATATATTTTTTCTTTTCTGCCCTTTTCATCAGTTTTATCTATGGTTGTTAGTCGTGAATTTAGTTGATCACTTTTGTTGTATTTGCAGTATCTGCAATTTATACATTTATATTTATATATTCATAAATAACTGACATTTTCCAGATTAAATGTTTGCATCAAACTGTTTTAAGAACAATTCTTGTCCATATTTTCCTTATTTGCTAAATATAGTTTTTGAATTTAGTTTTTTATTTTACTAAAACATTTTAAAACTGGTCAGATGCCCCACAGATATTTCTGTGAACACTTTTGAGTGATGACCGAAATATTTCATTGAGTCACTTTGAACAAATTCACTGAAACTGGCAGTTTATAGGAACTGACTCACAGAAATTAATCACATTTCTGAGCCTGAAACTAGTCCAACAGTACAGTCTTGAAAAAAAACCCGTCAAATAAAAATACTTCAAATATAATGCTGGTTAATTTTATATAGTCAATAAAATATTAAATATATTGTAAATATTCAGTATATATGTTCGCTCGGCACTGAGTTTGGTGTGTTTCTCTACAGGATGGCCTCCCGCTCCACTGTAACTTCATTCCCTTGGATATCAGACTGCAGAATTGGGAGGAACTGCCAGCAGAATTCAATCACAGCGAGAACAGGAGTCAGGTGTGTGTGTGTGTGTGTGTGAGAGAGAGAGTGATACTCAAGTACTGTTTCATCAGATTTCTTGAAACGCGTGTGTGTGTATGTGTCTGTCTGTCTGTCTCTGTCTGTCTGTCTGTCTGTCTGTCTGTCTGTCTGTCAGGTTGTGCGATTCGTGCGCGAGTGGATCTCTCTGACTGCGATGAGGCAGAGGATGGTGAGGAAGAGTGGAAGTGTGTTTCACAGCCCTATCCTGCTGCTAGAGGAGCTCAGTCAATCCCAGCGCCGGCACAGCAGCACCTCCAGGCAAGAAACACACACACACACCATTAAAGCTGGAGCGCTCTGGGACATGTGGGCGGATCTGAATCTCATTGGCTCAGATGTGGGTGTCAATCAAATTAAGTGTGGTTTTGTTTGTTTTTGTTTTCCCTCCACACTCAAAATGTTCGACTTAAAGTCATTGGACCTTTATTTTATTTTAATTATACATTTTATTTAGTTTAACGTTTAATTAGATATACATTATATGTTATATTATAATTTAGTTTATAGTTTTTCACATTTTTGTATTTTTAATCCATTTCTGAAATATATACACTACTGTTCAAAAGTTTGGGGTTGGTATACATTTTTTTATATTTTTGAAAGAAGTCTTGTTTACCAAGGTTGCACTTATTTGATAAAAAAACTGTAAAGTTGTAAAATATTAATGCAATTTAAAATAACTGTTTTATATTTGATTGTTTTAAAATTAAATTTATTCCTGTGATGCAGAGTTGAATTTTCAGCTTCATTACTTCAGTTTTCAGTGACACATGATCCTTCAGAAATCATTCTAATATGCTGATAATATTTTTGTAGAAACCATTATAAAAAATTTTCAGGGTTCTTTGATAATTAGAAAGTTCAAAAGAACAGCATTTATTTGAAATAAAAAAAAATCTTATGTAAAATTGTCACTTAATTTAATGCATCCTTGCTGAAGAAAAATGTGAATTTCTTTCTAAATAAATTTCACTGACCTAAACTATTGAAAAGTAGTGTATATTTATGTATTTTTTAAATGTTATATTTTTTTAAACATACATTCTTATATTTTTTTATTTTAATCATTAAAAAATTTTAAATATAAAATAAAGTAGTTTTTTTTCAACCAGTTCTTCAGTCTTATTCATGTGGGTTTTAATTATTTATTTAATTTTTTTGTCTATTTCTGCAATTTCTTTTAGTTTATTTCTGCAAAAGTTTCACCTGAGGCTATGAATAATGTAAGATTATTGGTGAGATAGTTTTTAATTTTGTAAGTATTATTCAAGGATTTTCCGACGCATTACAAGCATCAGTTTGCTGTTCTGTTACACAAACATCAGCTGTGTGTGTGTTTTCTGGTAGCAGATACTGTACTGCCCTCTTCATGCCACCATGATGTTCCCTTTCTGGCACTCAGTTCCTCACAGTCTCTCTCTGTCCGTCTCTGACAGGTATCTCTCCAGACAGGATGTAGCTCAGACCTCCATCACTGTGGCCCAGAAAGAGGGCGGAGCTCTCCGCATCATCAAAAAGGACAACATCGGTCCGAAAAGACAATCCTCATCCGAACATACTGACCCCAGCAACAGGTCTGACCACCCATAACCCTTAATAATAATAATAATAACTGTTATTAAAATTAATGTTATACAAATTTAGTTATTAATAATATTAATGGTTGTCATATTGTAAAAATCTAGACAAGGCACAACAATAATAAATACTTACAAAAGACCGCTTGTTTTTGTGATAGCTTATGCAAAAATTTATTATAAAAATTTTATTTTTGCTTTTTGCAACAACTCAATTTGCATAACGATAAAAATGTTAGTAATATGTACCACTTGCTTATTTTTAACAATAGAAAGTGACAAATTAAGATTTTTTTATTTGTGGTTTTCTTTCTGCTTATTCAAACTATTACAGGTGCATCTCAATAAATTAGAATGTCGTGGAAAAGTTCATTTATTTCAGTAATTCAACTCAAATTGTGAAACTCGTGTATTAAATAAATTCAATGCACACAGACTGAAGTAGTTTAAGTCTTTGGTTCTTTTAATTGTGATGATTTTGGCTCACATTTAACAAAACCCCACCAATTCACTATCTCAACAAATTAGAATACTTCATAAGACCAATAAAAAAAACATTTTTAGTGAATTGTTGGCCTTCTGGAAAGTATGTTCATTTACTGTACATGTACTCAATACTTGGTAGGGGCTCCTTTTGCATGAATTACTGCATCAGTGCGGCGTGGCATGGAGACAATCAGCCTGTGGCACTGCTCAGGTGTAATGGAAGCCCAGGTTGCTTTGATAGCGGCCTTCAG